CCCCCAATAAAGCAAAACTGCACATTTCAGAGTGGCCTTTTATTGTGGCCAGCCTAAGGCACACCTGTGCAATAATCATACTGTCTAATCAGCATCTTGATATGCCACACCTGTGAGGTGGGATGGATTATCTCGGCAAAGGACAAGCGCTCACTAACACAGATTTAGACAGATTTGTGAACAATATTTGAGGGAAATGGTCTTTTGTGTATAGAAAATGTTTTAGATCTTTGAGTTCAGCTCATGAAAAATGGGAGCAAAAACAAAATTGTTGCGTTTATATTTTTGTTCAGTGTAGAAACAATCTGTTATTTCCCTCATCGACTGTACTATAGAGACGATTAGATAGTCTGTCTGTCAGAGAGCCTGTCAGAGAGCCTCTAACTGGATCATTATATATATATATATATATAACATTATGTGATAACTATCATTATATATGTATATATAACATTATGTGATAACTATCATTATATATATATATATAACATTATGTCATAACTATCATTATATATGTATATATAACATTATGTGATAACTGGATCATTATATATGTATATATAACATTATGTCATAACTGTATCATTATATATGTATATCTAACATTATGTGATACAAAGCACCTGCGTACACACATTGATAACTACAACACCTACTGTCTCTTCAGCAGGTCCATGGACGTCTTCTCCACCTCCAGCCTCGCTCTGACAGCTTTCACTGTGGACGCCTCGAAGAGCTCCGCCCCCCTGCAACACACACATTAACATCATGTGACTCTGTGTGTGTGTGTGTGTGTGTGTGTGTGTGTGTGTGTGTGTGTGAGTGTGCACCTGGAGGCCAGCAGTTGTGTATTTTGCAGGTCCAGGACCACATACAGGAAGTAGTGACTCCTGAAGACCCTCCTCTGCAGCAACAGGAAACAGAAACAGACCCCATCCCAGATGATGCCCGCCTCGTCGCTCGGCAACTCGCACTGTTTACTGCTCTGTTGCTCCGCTGCAGGAAGTGATACGTACATAAACAACAGACACACAGGTAGAGACGCAGGTAGACAGGTACAGAGTTTGTACCATGCTGCATTGTCTTACTCATCTAATCTCTGCGTGTTCAGAGAATAAGAAATATAACTATGACTTTAGAATCACCGGTCAGTGGTCAATAGACAGATGGACAGACAAAGAGACAGACAGACAGATGGGGAGATGGAGAGACGGGAGGACAGACAGACGGACGGTGGACTTACGTTTGGTGTATCCTTTGATGGTGCATGCCAGACTGAAGAGTTGAATCAGCCAGCAGTGATTCAACACCAATGACTTAATGAAACCACAGGCCAGGATCTGAAGACAGACAGACAGACGAACCGAAAGACAGACAGACAGACAGACAGATGAACAGAAGGACAGACAGACAGACAGACGGACGAACAGAAAGGTGAGACAGTTGAAACTGATTGGCCATATGACTCTTTGAACTTCAGTAAATATCAGCATGATGATGATTCATCTTACCGACAGAATGTTCTTCATGGTGATGACAAACACGTTATAGCCAATCAAACAGTCCCAATACACCAGGATGGATTTGACTGGTTTCAGCAGCAAGTCTCCGCCCACCAACAGGAAGTAGAAACATGCCACGAGGTAACCCATACAGAAGATACTAATCCTGAAACAGCAGGTACAAACACGTCACCTGGTAACCTGTAAGGACGATACCCATCCTGGAACAGGGAGTAGTAACATGACATCAGGAAACACATGTGGAAGATACAGATGTTGGAACAGGAAGTAGAAACATGACATCAGGAAACACATGTGGAAGATACAGATGTTGGAACAGGAAGTAGAAACACAACATCAGGAAACACATACAGATGATACAGATGCTGTAACAGGAAGTAGAAACACAACATCAGGAAACACATACAGATGATACAAATCCTGGAACAGGAAGTAGAAACACAACATCAGGAAACATGTGCAAGATACAGATGTTGGAACAGGAAGACAAAACAAAATAATTTCATCATCATTTCATCTGGTTGGATAAATCTTCAGATTAAATCTCCAGGTTTCAGGTTTTCATCATATTTCAGATGTAGTCTGGTGTTTTGTGGCGGCTGTGGCTCAGCGGTAGAGTGGGTCGTCCACTAATCAAAGATCAGCGGTGTGTGTGAGTGTGTGAATGGTAACTGAGCAGCAGGTGGCTCCTTGTACGGCAGCCTCGGCCACCAGTGTGTGAATGTGTGAATGTGTGAATTTAACAGTATAAACGTGCTGTGAGTGGTCAGATGACGAGAAAAGAGCTGTACATGTACAGTCCATCTACCATTTTACAAACGTTATGTTTTTTTTTTCTTGATCATTTTGGGTTCTTCAAAAATTTCAGTTTTTATGTGTTAACTGGAATTTTCTATTTTTTTTATTTCTGGAGTTTTAGAGTTTTAATCTTGAATTTCCATTTTTACAAAGATCGGAGGGTCTAATCTCGTCCACTCACCTGGTCGTCCCGGTTATGAAGATGATGGTGAGGACGAACCAGAACATGTAGCTGAAGATGATGATCTTCATCATGTCCAGGTAAGACCTGCACACATGGATGACAGAGGTCAGACAGCTAAAAAGACAGACGGACAGGTGGACAGTGGACAGTGTTTACCTGCACAACATGAAGTCAGGGCCTGTGTTGAGACGAAGCTGTCTGATTGGATCAGCGACTTGTCCTTCATCCTCGTCCAGCTCACAGTTGTCTCCTGCGAGGATCTGTACCGACGAATGAAGCTCCTCCTCAAACACCTGCAGCTGCAGAGACGCCCCAAGGAGGAGCATGAAGTCATCTGAAAGATCAGGAGACACAATATAAAGATGATGATAGGAGATCATGGGATGGACGTGTCTTCCTGTATATTAAAAACATCCTCATCCATGACAGCCAGGAAAGATACGATCATCAAGAGCAACTCTTTCACCATGACCATGATGTCAACAAACACATGGGCCGAACCTCCGATTATAAGCTGGCAGTTCTACCCCAGAAAAGGGAAGCTGTGTCATGGCAGTGTACACGTTTAAGATAAGATAAGATACATCTTTATTGATCCCATAACTGAGAAATTCCAGTGTTACAGCAGTCAAGGGGAAAGAGTCAGATTAAAGATTTCAAAATTTAAACTTAAAAACTTAAAACTTAAAAAACTAGGCATGCAAAATAAGTACAAAAATACAAGACACTATGATAAATAACAATAATAATAATAATAATAATAATAATGAGTCTGTAGACAGGCAGAAGATGAACCAGGTTGTGATCAGCTCTTCCCAGGGGGGGCAGGGGGGATGAGTGGTATGCCTCCTTGGTGTTGGCATAAAATAAATCCAGTGTTTTATTGTCTCTGGTGTGGCAGGAAACATACTGGATGAAGGTGGGCAGGGTGGTGGATGGACAGGCGTGGTTGAAGTCCCAAGAGATCAGAAGGAGGGCCTGAGGGTGCTGTGTCTGCAGCCTACTTGTAACAGAGTGGAGAACGTCACAAGCAGACTCAGCCTTTGCAGACGGGGGGACATACACTGCTACCATAATGACATGAGAAAACTCCCTGGGTAGATAATATGGTCTCATGCCAACAGCCAGCAGCTCAATGTCCCTGCAGCAATGCTGTTCCTTGATAGTGATGTGCCCAGAGTTACACCATCTATCATTCACAAACACAGCCAGCCCTCCTCCTTTCCTCTTAACGCTGTCCGCTGTGCTGTCGTGTCTGATGAGCTGGAATCCATCCAGCTAGCTAACTGAAAAAAAAAACTCCAAATAAGAAAGTTAAATGAAAAAGAAATTGAAAGAAGCTCAGCGGTGAGTAGGAGCTGCTGTAACAGGTGTCCGCACTGGGGGCGCCATCTTGCAAAATGTTCCTGTTTCTGGATCCTTGAAAGCAGTGACAGTCTCAAGGCTGACGGTTGCTGCTGCTGTCCTCTTTGAAAAGACAGCTTGAGCTTATCATCACAGACTCTGTCTTCTGAGTGGACAGCACCTCTGTCTCCAAATACATCCCGGATGACACCAGAGGAGTTTCTGTATTTGACAAAAACCAATGATGTCACATAAAAAACTGCGCTCAACCCTGCAGACGCTGCATTGGGAGGTATGAGACCTGAGACTCTCCTTGGGGAAGGATGTTGACTGACAGACCCAGACTTCTTGATGCAGCCTGATACGGACTGGGCGATGCTTCAACAGTGACAGCAGCAGTAGGATCTACAAACTGGACCCTGTCCTCCAGACTGAATCCTGAGAGTTGGAAGCTGACTGGCCGAACTTCAGGTCATTCTGATCAGTGACAACCACGTCTCCACACCACACCTGAACCACATTCACACCTTAGAGGAAGAACCAGATGTTGTCCAAACTCAGAGAGAAATACAGAATCATCATCATCGTGTACTCTGCGGTGTTGGAATGGTGCTGCAGTCAACCCTCTAATCGACATCACACCTGATTTGGAACCCTTTAACCAGGTCAATTTAAACTACCTTGGTCTCGTCAAAGTCAAGAGTAACCGAAGCAAAGTGACGAGGCATGGAGCCTTACTGACGTGCTTTGACATCTGGAGATGGCCTTGTCCCTGGATACAGACATCTCTGTTCCTGCACTCTGAAGGATCATCTGTAGATGAGGTCGAGCGAAGGAGAACAAGTTTCACTGGTACAGAACTTGATCTACAAGAAGCACACACTCCCCCTGACCCAAATCAAATCACACATTCAGTTCACGCTGAAGGCATTCAGCGCACATTCAGTCCTTACAGTTCTCATCACAGAGGTGGGTCAGAAACAGGTCCAGTATTTCTCAGACCTGTTCTGGAAATATGTTGAAGATTCTCAATCATCCAGAGAACTGAATAAGCCTCTCCATGAGAGGTGAAATGTCTTCTAGAAACTCAAACAAGTCCAGCTGCCTATGATACAGTACTGAGACTTCTTTTGGAGACATTGCTCCACTGTCTCTCAGATTAACTCATATCACAGCGGTGCCTGGACAGCGTGACGTGTGTGGTTGTGCTGCTGCCGTGGTCCTGCCAGATGCCTCCTGCTGCTGCTGCCATCATTAGTCATTAGTCATACTTCTACTGTTATTATACACATATGACTATTGTCACACATGTATACTGTCAGATATTAATACATACTTTCAACATATTGTACCACAGTAGCCAGAACTATAACTATAATATTATTACTTTCATTAATGTTGTTGTAAGCTACTATCATTACCTGCATCTCTCTCTCTCTCTCTCTCTCTGTCTCTCTCTCTCTGTCTCTCTCTCTCTGTCTCATTGTGTCATACGGATTACTGTTAATTTATTATGCTGATATGTTCTGTACGACATCTATTGCACGTCTGTCTGTCCTGAAAGAGGGATCCCTCCTCAGTTGCTCTTCCTGAGGTTTCTACCATGTTTTTCCCCTGTTAAAGGGTTTTTTGGGGAGTTTTTCCTGAACGCTGGTCCTTTAGCTCCGAAACAGCAACGACTGGCTTTTGGTTCTAATAACAGAGATAACGTTAAACCTATCAATCCGAAAGAAGTCATGTGGCTCGCTATGTGGTAGAAGAAATGCTGCCGTTGTCTACCGTGGAGTCTAAAAAAAGGTGGAGGACTCGCTGACAGACAGCTCAGACTCAGGAGGACTTGCATTATGCCTGGTTCACACTACACGACTTTTCTGCCCGTTCTGAAAGTCACTATGTCACATTACACGATTGAGGAGTCATAAACTCGTGCCGTGACTTGGCCGATAGACATGATACACTACAAGATGGTACTCACCAATTATTCCCGGTCGTCTTTCACGGCGTGTGTGATATCATCAGGTTATTCTTGTCCTATTTTTATTACTTTCACTATTATTTGAGTCAGTGTGTGTGTTCATGTGCCAGCCGAAATGTTGTTGTAGTCACCTAAAAGCGTCAGCAGATGGCAGGAGCTACATTTGAAGTACTGTACGCAAACATTCAAGCTACAATTTCCTCCACAACAAGTTCCTACAAATGTTTCACAATGAAAGCCTATTTAGAAAATGGAGGGATTCTCTCAGCCGAGGTTATAAGGGGCTTTTAATTTGAAGGAAAATCAGGAAATGTTGAGTTTGAAATGACAACGCAATGTGTTAACTTTATGAAGACAACAGGAGCGGATAAAAAGGCGAGTGATAGGAGAACTGGATCTCAGTGAAGGGCAAGTGGTCCATAACTTTAATTTTGGAGACAAAAAAATGTAGGCTTAGCGCCCTGTGGTCCATTGCCCAATAGGAAATGTAGAATACTCAAAAGTACTTAAAAGTGCTAGAGTTACTTTTCTCAGGGAGTAACGGTGGAAGTATTTTAAAAGTACTTGAGTTACTTTACTCAGGGAGTAACACAGTAAAGTAACTGGTTACTTTTTTAGTGTGAAAAAATTGAATTTCCCCTCAGGGGGATTAATAAAGTATAAAGTATATAAATTTAAAAAGTAACGCAGTAAAGTACTTTGATTACTTTTAAAGTAACCCTTATGTCAAACAACAATGAGGAGGAAGAGGAGGAGGGGGAGGAGGAGGAGGAGGAGGAGAAAAAGGAGGAAGAGGAGGGTCTTACAGAGGAGGAAGAGTGGGTTTGGTGGTGTCAGGTGATCAGGGAGGAAGAGCCACTTCACCACGTTGGAGTCCATGTTAGAGGATGGAGGTCTCCAGGGATAATCTGAAACACCACAGGTATTTATTGAAAGTCGTTTACGTCCTGTCGACACGATTTTTTCTGTCCACAAAAACATTTTACTAAAAATCTGCGTCCACACTAAAATAAACACATGTTCACGATGACATCATCGTTTTCCAGAGACTCGAGTTCACATGTCCCCACACATTTTAAAAAAAATCTCCATTTTACTCACGTAAAACTGTTTGTGTAGACGAGAGACAGAAAATACGTGTCTACGTTCTGACTTGGCGGAGGTTATATCTGAGGTTTAATGACCTCGTTAAGGTCGTACCTGTGCAGGTAGCAGGAGGGAGTCCGATACAGAGCAGGTACTGGAAACACATCAGCCCCGACAGGAAGTAGCAATACCTGGGCCACACTGAGGCGATGTGCCTCCTGCTGCGACGTGAAAGGACGCTGATGAGGCCAAAGGCGTGGCCTACAGCAAACAGATCCATCCGCTGACCAATCACGTTCACGGCCAACAGAAAACACGTCTGAGGAGGAGGAGCGTGGAAATGATTGTAAACAGGAAAAGGTTAAGTTGTTGCTATGCTAATGACTGTGCATCTCACCTCCAGTCCGAACTTGTAGAAGAAGTAGTTGAGGAAGTATTTAATGCAGCTGAGCACGCTGTCGTCAAGGTGACGCCTGGTGATGTCATGAAACAGTGTTCTCGTGGGGGGTGGGACTTCGTTGCGACGGAGACGGTAGAGTTCCTGGTGTCTGTACACTGTCACCTCGAAGGCTAGCAGTGCTAACATCATCAGGTTATACTGTAGAAACAGGTTAGCATGATGCTACATCATCAGAGCTAACATCATCAAGTTATACTTTAGAAACACGTTAGCGTTATGCTAAGTGATCAGAGCTAACACAATCAGGTTATATTGTAGAAACACATTAGCATGATGCTAAGTGATCAGAGCTAACACAATCAGGTTATACGGAAGAAACAGGTTAGCATGATGCTAATTGATAAGAGCTAACATCATCAGGTTATACTGTAGAAACAGGTTAGCATGATGCTGAGTGGTCGGAGCTGTGATGTCAGGACTCACCCGCAGGTAGTCGAGCAGTTTTCCGTCTGTCTTTCGAAGCCCCACCCACTGGGCAGGGTCAACTGGACCAGAGTACAGAACAGAGCGAGATAAGTCGATACTGGAGTTACCTGGCTACAGACAGACAGACAGACAGACAGGTGTGACAAGGTTATGAGGTTGTGTGGACAGTTTGGACACAGAGACATGAGGTATTATGTTGTTGCCATGGTTACCATGGTACAGTTGGACGAGTATCTCATTGGCTGGACGACGTTGAGTTGGTACAACATTTTACAGACGGTCACCACACAGGTCCACACTGTACAGACTCCTGACAGCAGGGGGCGCCACGCCCTGCAGGGCAGAGCCATGGCCACACACAGCATGAATGGCAGGTTAAAGACACACACCTGCACAGAGACAGACAGGTCAGAGACAGGTGAGACAGAGGGACAGGTCAGAGACAGGTGAGACAGAGGGACAGGTCAGGGACAGGTGAGACACTGTTCGGAGCAGGTGAGACAGAGGGACAGGTCACAGACAGGTGAGACAGAGAGACAGACAGGTTAAAGACACACACCTGCACAGACACAGACAGGTCAGAGACGGGTGAGACAGAGGGACAGGTCACAGACAGGTGAGACAGAGGGACAGCTCAGAGACAGGTGAGACACAGGGACAGGTCAGGGACATTTGAGACAGAGGGACGGACAGTCTGACCTCCTTCACCGAGACCCAGACGATGTAGGAGGACACGATCTTGATGATGTGCAGTTCCAAGAGCCACCAGAGGAGGTGCTGCAGGCGCTGCACATTGAGGAGGAGACGCAGGAACAGGACAGAGAGACGATCCACCACCAGTCTCCAGGAGACGAGGACTGAGGACATGAGAGACAAGGAGTCTGCTGTCTGTATCATACTCATGATGATGATGGTGATGTAGGGTGTTTACCTTTCAGGTGGTCAGACAGGGTTTCCCTCTCAAACATACAGGGGTACTCTTCCTCCTCGTCCTCCTCCTCCTTTTTCCTCCACCTCTCCTCTCTGTCCTCCTCTCTGTCCCTCTGTCCTCCTCTCTTTTCTGCCTCCAGGAGGAGCTGAGGAGCTCCGCCCAACGACAGGTCAAACAGGCTGCCGTCAGAGTGGACCAGCCTGAAGAGACAGGGACAGGGACAGAGACAGGGACAGACAGAGACAGAGACAGACAGGGACAGGGACAGAGAAAGACATAGAGAGAGACAGACAGACAGAGACAGAGACAGACAGAGACAGGGACAGGGACAGAGAAAGACATAGAGAGAGACAGACAGACAGAGACAGAGACAGACAGAGACAG